ACCAACTCTAAATTAAGTCATTCTTTTCTGATTTTCTCTTTATTCCCCTGGGATGTTGAATAAATATTTTTTTTATTGTTGTACTTTCTGTTAAGTAACCCACCACAGACAATGACCCTCCATTGTCTGTGAAAGATTCTTTAGAAATACACTTTTACTTAGTCGGTCATAGTTACTTTATTTGTTGCTGCAAGCTATTTTTAGATCAAAGTTATCATGCCAAAACGTCTTTCTCCCTTCAAGTTTTTCTCTCCTCTTTAAGTACACATCCCCATTTAGGATTTTTGGCACATGAAGTGCATGGCTACAACTATGGCGGCATTCAGTACTTTCGTCTGTAACTTAAAACTAATTAAACACACAAGCTCAAAGGGAAGGTTGTTGCCACCACCATCACTAAGCCGTCTGCCTCAGTAACGCAGTGGTTTCTGTTACATTAATGCCTAACGATGAAGGGTGGCTTGGTGATTTGGTCAGAACAAAAAATAAGTAAATCTGGAAAAATAAATACCAAACTGTTCAAAACAAAATCTACCTGGAAAAAAAAAAAATACAATGAAAAACAATTTGTTAAAAAAAATAATAAACATAAAAAACAATACACACAACACTTTTATTGTTGAAGCATGTTATTTTTCAAAACCAATCAATATACATACAAACATTTCCAGTTCCCATGGTCCCTGAATGCATCAGCTGGGTTGTTCAGCCGCTGTGTTGGCCTGTTAATCATAATTCCACACCCCTGTATTCTGAGTTCCCACCCCCTATGACATAAATTTGAAGTACAAATAAATCAGCTAGTACAAAAAAAAAAAAACAGAATCTGAAAACGTGTTATCAAATTGAATCTCTGTTGAGTTTTATCTTAAAAAATGCTGATACTTAAGGATATAAAGGAACATTTTAGCAGTTCTGAATCTTGATGTTTTAAATCTGGGTTTAAATTGAAACCATGAACTGGCCCATGCTAATACTGATACAAGATAAAAATAAAAAATAAAAAAAACACTAATATTGGGCCAAAATATCGACTGGGTGATGAATTGGTCTACCTTTAACAATAACGTTGAATGATAAATTCCCGCCACACTTTTCAGGATTTCACTACTCAGCAATGTTAAAAGTCTTAGTAATGTTCATCTTCCTTTTGGTTAAAATATCCCAGTAAAATAAACTTTAGTTTGCTGTTAGAATAAACATAAGAGGGATGAAGAACTATCTGTGGCACGTGAGGTCCTTCTATGTAAATCATGATCCTTGTAGTTTGTCTCTTATCACTGGAGCCAAGCTGAGGTGATGTCCTCCTCAGGGGGGATGCAGCGCTCACACCTGCTCCATACATCTGCAGCACATTATTCCTGTAACCAAAGAGCTCTCTCACAGCTTCATTACCCAGAGAGCTCTGGCTCTTAATGCCACAACATGCCAGAGAAAGGGAGTGAATATGACAACAAGCAGAGCAGCCTGTATCCCTTGATCAGTACTTACATCAAAGAAATCATTACATATGCAGATGATGCTATCATCTACATACATAGGAAGGATATCAAGTGACGTCAAAATGATTCTATGCAATGGACCAAATAATTTGAGCTGTTTATCAGTTATTATTATTGGACTAAAGCGGGACAAAATCAGACCAACCAAACACAGCCAAGTTTTCAACAACTATTTCTGTTATAAATCAACACTATGACGGACCAACCAGATTTAGCCTAAAAACTGTCTAAATGATGTCTGGTGTTGATTGGCTTAAATCTTTCTTGCTTACTTCTTAACAAAAAAAAAATGTAGGGATATAATAAACAAAAACCTACATGGAAACTCCCAACAGCTATGTTAAGGGAGAGAAAAAAAACATTTTGAAAACTATAAAATATCTTGGTGTCCATTTGGATCAAAACCTAAGATTCAAAAACTCACCAAAAAAAACCTCAGTAATCCTATAATTTTTTTAATTCTTTTTGTCCCGTTCTTCCCGCTTGACACTCAAAACTATAGCTCTATAATATCCAATATATCTTCTTATATACAAAGAAGTGGTTTAACAACTGAAGCATCTTTCAGTTATTTCATAGTGAGATCACGTCTCACATCACTTACCGTTTGTTCAGTATCTCTAAAGCCAGTGAGACATTCACAGTCAGATCTCTCTATGAGATTACTTAGTTTTGAATAATTCATTTGATATAGAAATGTGTAAAACAATCTTTAAAATCAAAACATTTCCCCACCCACATTAAAAATATTTGTCAAACTTTATTCTGAATAAAATGACCTGGATATGCCGCTGCGCGGCTCACAGAAAGTGCATCATCCTAAAAAGATCCTCAGCTTTTTCATTTAGTCATCAGACACTGGAATCAGCTTCCAGTTAGTCAGAAAATATTTGCCGACTTGAAAACTTCGAAAAACATAAATAAATACTTATTATTAAAATCATCTGAGCCAATAGGCATCAATACAGGTGAAATCTTTTTATAACCTATGCTCTCTTTCTAACTTAAAAACGTTTATCATGTATAAATTAAATGTATTATATTTTAATGCCATTTCATAATATAATGTGTATATAATGTTGTAAACCTGCTCAAGGACTGCAGATGGAAATTAGCAATAGCCGAGTTTGGTACAAAGCATAATTTCTTTGAAAGAATAATGTATTTTGAAAAATGTCCCTAATAAACTAATCATACTAAGAGTTTATGGAAAACTGGTGTTTAATATTGGAAGCTGCTGCCAGACATTCAGTATATTCTAGGTTTTATCAATTGAGCAGTTCAGAATTTCTACACCTTTATTACACCTGAACCTGAACTGCTGTAACTATAAACAGTACAGTCATGCTGTAAGAAAGCTGTCGGCAAAACACAAAACAGATCTCTGCTGAGAGTCACACCATGAGTTCAGGATTAAAGTCTCTACCTTTATTCGTGTGTAATTTCTTATCGCAGTAGTGTCCTAAATAATTATCAAATATTTTCTTGATATTGATATTGAGTTCAATATTTTAGAGTTATAGCAACCCTAATTTCAACAGTGATTTAAAAGTTTTAACTTTTAGCTTAAGTTGAACAATGAAAAGTTGTTTTAACTAAAAAAAATAACGCTCTCATACTGTATAAATGAAAAATTTTAAGCACTTACAGTGGATGATTTTCAGACGTTTTTCACAAAAACTAATTGTATATCAATACTAAACAAATATTTGATATTGAAGTTAAATAGAAATATTTTCCTATCTATATATTCATTTTTGCCATTGCAATACTGGGGAAGTACACCCCACCTCCCATTGCAACCAAACAGTTTGACTGCTGACACGATGTCTTGCTGTTCCAGTTACAAACATAGGGCCAGGCTAGAGCTGAACTGCAGGTAGAGCCTGAATTTCCCCCTCCGCTCCAGGTTAGGCAGCACCTCCATCACCTTAACGAAGGACTGGTACGCAAACCTGAGGAACACGCCTCAAGCCGCAGGTACAGGTTTACCTCATGACAGCGTTTTTTTGTCAGAGTTCTGATAAGCTTATAAATAGGATCATTCCAATTCAAATCATTGTCTTATTTAGAAATTGATATAGTGATTGAACTTTATTGATCTCACAATGGACATATTAACTCATTAACTCCAATTAACTGTATTTAACAAATCCCCTTGGAGAGCAGTGGGCTGCCTCTATGCAGCGCCCGGGGAGCAGTGTGGGGTTAAGAGACCCAGAGTGCAGGCTAGGGGATTGAACCGGGTACTTGCAACCTTCTCACAGCACAAGCTCACTGCTCTAACCACTAGGCCAACACTCCCCAGTGGACTTTAGGAGGAAGCAGAGGCTCTTGCAAGAGAATGTTCAAATGTATTTAATGTCCTCAGATGGAGAGATATAGCTCTGACTGGGCAAAGTTCAGTACATACATTTACCTTACAAGGGAACCTCCAGGGGAACCAACCCACCCCCTGCATAAAGAACTTTCTCACACTTGAACATTTGATTATTCCCAAGAAGAAGAAAAAAAAAACACAAATTCATCAAGGACATACATTTTAGCCAAATAAACACTCAGAACAGGTCTCCCTTTCATTGCAAAAGGAGGCTTGTGAACTCATTCTTATCTCTCATGACCCTCCCTTTACTCTTCTCTATAGTAGGGAGGCAACTGCTTTCTGCCATCCCCACTCTTAACTCCATAACTTAACACCAGCAAACAGACTGGTACAAGACTTCTAAATAATCACCCCTATTTAGGCAGAGAAACGGCACACTCAAAATATTTTATCTGACAAATAGGCCAAGGAAAAATATGCTTCCACATCCCCCAATTTTAATCCTAAATTAATAAATTATTAACTATCAATAACTTGAATAAAGAAATAATTACATACAATTCACTTTAGAGCCGTCATGATTTTATTTTATTTCTTGTTTTATAAATTAAAATCGTTCTTGCTAGAGTAAAAAGCAGAAAAAAACAAAATGGAGATAAAAGCAGGTAGTAAAACAAACAAAACAGCTGGACTACGACCTTAAACTAATAATACCTCAGTTAACAGTTTAACTTCGACAATCAAAGGCAGTTTAGTTTGACTTAAATGAACTCAGGCTACAGAGTTGGCTAGAATCAGAAGAGCCGAGTGGTCTGGGAGGTTGATACACTGACAACAAATCTGTTATGTGTTAAGGTGCCTATCCATTCAGTGATTTATAGACTAACAGAAGGATGTAAAGTCTATTTTCTGAGCTACAGGGAGCCAGTGGAAGGACTTCAGAAGTGGGCTGTTGTGTTCTACTTTCTTAGTGTTAGTGAGAACATGGGCAGCAGAGTTTTGTTTCAGCTGCAGCTGTCTGGACTTTTTTGGCAAACCTGTGAAGACACTGTTGCAGTAATTGATCCTACTAAAAATAAATGAGTTTTTCTAGATCCTATTTGGATATTTGTCCTTTAATCCTGGAGATGTTCCTCGGGTGATAAAAAGCTGACTTAGTTACTACCTTAATGTGCCTCTGAATGTTCAGGTCTGAGTTCATCATGACACCAAGATTACGGCCATATTCAGTGGTTTCTTGCTGTAGTAGCTAAAGATCTAACTAAACATCTAACAAACGCTCTGATTGGATCATTGTCATCTGGCGACATCGTGATGTAAAGCTGTGTAGGGTTGCAGCTAACGATAGTTTTGCACATTGAGTAATCTGTGGATTATTTTTCATATTAATCAATTAATAATCAAACAACCAAAGATTCTTGAAAGAAGACTTTTTACAAAATTAAACCAGGTGAAACTCCACTTGCGGAGTTCTTTATAAAGCATATTTACAGCCCTTTTTTGTCTTAAATGCAAAATGTTTACATATTTTTTCACAAAGTCTTAGTGTTAAGGATACATACTAGTACTATACTTACTTACTACTTACAGTTGCAGTTTTGTCATTAAGATGTGATAGTGTCAGTCTATTTTAGTCGACAAAAACTCAAAAAGGTTTTAGTCTAGTTTTAGTCAGTTTTATATTGTACTTCAAAAACCTTTTACAATTTCAAACAACCAGATTCTTCACCAGGCTTGCAGCTCTTGCCTAGATACTACAATTGTTGGGTATAGAATGCTGCCAAGGGGAGCATGTACAGGTGCTGGTCATAAAATTAGAATATCATGAAAAAGTAGATTGATTTCAGTAATTCCATTTAAAAAGTGAAACTTGTATATTATAGTCATACATTACATACAAACTCATATATTTCAGATGTTTATTTTGTTTAATTTTGATGATTACAAATGACAACAAATGAAAATCTCAAATTCATCATATCAGAAAATTAGAATATTGTGAAAAGGTTCAAAATTGATGGCCCCTGGTGCCACACTCTAATCAGCTAATTAACTCAAACCACCTGCAAAAGCCTTTAAATGGTCTTTCAGTCTAGTTCTATAGGCTACACAATCATGGGGAAGACTGCTGACTTGACAGTTGTCCAAAAGACGACCATCGACACCTTGCACAAGGAGGGCAAGACACAAAAGGTCATCGCTAAAGAGGCTGGCTGTTCACAGAGCTCAGTGTCCAAGCACATTAATAGAGAGGCGAAGGGAAGGAAAAGATGTGGTCGAAAAAAGTGTACAAGCAAGAGAGATAACCGCACCCTGGAGAGGATTGTGAAACAAAACCCATTCAAAAATGTGGGGGAGATTCACAAAGAGTGGACTGCAGCTGGAGTGAGTGCTTCAAGAACCACCACACACAGACGTATGAAAGACATGGGTTTCTGCTGTCGCATTCCTTGTGTCAAGCCACTCTTGAACCACAGACAGTGTCAGAAGCGTCTTGCCTGGGCTAAAGAGAAACAGGACTGGACTGCTGGTGAGTGGTCCAAAGTCATGTTCTCTGATGAAAGTAAATTTTGCATTTCCTTTGGAAATCAAGGTCCCAGAGTCTGGAGGAAAAGAAGAGAGGCACTTCATCCACGTTGCTTGAAGTCCAGTGTAAAGTTTCCACAGTCAGTGATGGTTTGGGGTGCCATGTCATCTGCTGGTGTTGGTCCATTGTGTTTTCTGAGGTCCAGGGTCAACGCAGCCACATACCAGGAAGTTTTAGAGCACTTCATGCTTCCTGCAGCTGACCAACTTTTTGGAGATGCAGATTTCATTTTCCAACAGGACTTGACACCTGCACACAGTGCCAAAGCTACCAGTACCTGGTTGAAGGACCATGGTATCCCTGTTCTTAATTGGCCAGCAAACTCTCCTGACCTTAACCCCATAGAAAATCTATGGGGTATTGTGAAGAAGAAGATGCAATACACCAGACCCAACAATTCAGAAGAGCTAAAAGCCACTATTAGAGCAACCTGGGCTATCATAACACCTGAGCAGTGCCACAGACTGATCGACTCCATGCCACGCCGCATTGCTGCAGTAATACAGGCCAAAGGAGGCCCAACTAAATACTGAGTGCTGTACATGCTCATACTTTTCATGTTCATACTTTTCAGTTGGCCAACATTTCTATAAATCCTTTGTTTTTATTGGTCTTCAGTAATATTCTAATTTTCTGATATGATGAATTTGAGATTTTCATTTGTTGTCATTTGTAATCATCAAAATTAAACAAAATAAACATCTGAAATATATGAGTTTGTATGTAATGTATGAATATAATATACAAGTTTCACTTTTTAAATGGAATTACTGAAATCAATCTACTTTTTCATGATATTCTAATTTTATGACCAGCACCTGTAGATGTTGAATACGGGCGGCACCAGAATGGAGCCTTGAGGAACACCGCGTGTGATTTTTCTGGTCTCTGATTTAAAGTTTCCGGCTGACACATGGAAGTCCCTATCCTTTAGGTAGGATTTAAACCAGTGTAGTGCGAGAAAGGCCAACCTAGTTTTCCAGATGTTTTACCTGAAATGTTATTATCTTATTTAACAGAAAAAAGAATAAAAACCTGTGAAATAATCAAAAGCTGCTTTAACTGCACAAGATAACAATTTAAGATACAAATAAAAAGTTAAGAGCACTGACAGAGGCTGATTTGAAGACATTTGCAGTGATAGATAAAATCGCTAGTTAAAACCGGTTTAGCATCTTTCAGCCGCTCACCAAAATAAGCACCCATACATTTTTTTCTGATATATCTGGAGTCTTCAGAGCCACAAGAAGTTATTTGGTTCTGCAGCTCAGCTGATGTATATATTAAATAACCAACTATTGCCCTTTTTTTCTTATTCATACCCCACCACCCAATGGCGTAACGACACAATGATAGGCCCGTAAACAACATTATCTGGGTGGCCCACATATGAAGTACAACTACTATGAAGTACTACTTTTATTTAAAAAAATCATCAGGGCAACCATTGGTCCCTAAACTAAACAATTCCTGTAGAAGAGAAACAGACCCACAGCATCATGCATCCTTTCCCTAACATAACCATAAACATGAGGTATTTTTCACCACTTTTATCCTTTGTTTTTAATCCACTCACACCAGGACTGTTTCCAGCCTCCAAAAGGAATTGCTACCATATCAAAAATGAAACTTGTCATATATGTAAGACTGAGTGGGTCCCTGACAGAAATCTTTTTATGTTTTACCCTAATCCAGCCTGGTGGTCAAAAGCAAAAACAAACAAAGAAAAAAAAAACATTATGTGGATGACAAATACGTTAAATTCTAGATTTTTTTCTGTTAATCATCTTTATCAAATGTTCTGCCCACAATCAGACTTCCGTCTAAAAAACTGACATTTTTATGGATGAGTTGTAGTTTACATACAGGTGTGCAAATTCTCCTAAGTTAATTTTTACACCTCAAAGCCTGAGTTCATCAAACAAACAGCAAACTGTTTAAACTCCTCATTTATAAGTAACTCTTCCCAAGTCTCTAAAAACAATAGTTATATTGAGCTCCACGTCATGAAAGACCAAACCCATAGATGTTAGGAGCCCGAGTACCTCAGACACGAAGAGAGTGCTGGGGTCGATGACGTCCAGGAAGTGCCGGAATCTACCCAGAAACGTTTCCTAAGAGAAAAGGAAAATTTACACCATTTAATTTAGCTGCAAATATTCATTGCAGCAATAAACTTTAACTTCATTTGATTTATTTGAATGTTTATAAAAGGTTCCTAAATGTTGTACGTGTGACAGATTAAACCTGAACACACAAAACACAAGTTAGTAAATGAAAATCTAAGTTTTTCTGTGACTTTGCAGCTGACCTAACTTCATTTTTGCTTGAACTGCCGGCAGCAGATGCAGATTCAGGATTGTTTCTCTACACAAACAGCCAGAGAGATTCCAGCTGCCTCTCCCAGTGAGCAGCGATATTAGAGCTCGCCAGCTGTTCCCACACACCAGGTGGAGCCTCCTCATTACAGCCGCTGGCAAACTGTTTCCCATCTTCATCTTTTAGACGCCCAAATCCGCTCGCACCGAACGCAATTAATTCTTTAATGACTGCGCCAGGAATACCTTTCAATCACTGATTCATAGGGCTGGCATAAGGAATCATTTAGAGATTCAGGCATAGAAGATACCCCCCCACACTCTTCTGGTTTAATTGCTCTAACTGTTAATTTGGACAAAAAAAATCTGTTGAACATATGGATGCCTGTCAAAAACATAGCATGGGTGGGGGCAGCTTTTGATATCAGCATATTAAAAAACAGGGGACTTTTCCTCTCCTTCAGAAGCGTCATCTGTGATGCTCCCTGATAGAGGCTTTTGCACCATCATGTCAGGTTGACTGGAGGCTTGGCATTGTCCTGATTAGGCCTTATGGATATGTCGAGATTTTAAAAATAGAGAGATTTTTATTAGGAGAGCTAGAAGATAGGTCTGTGTTGGCTATATCAAGATGTTCTACATTAAAATATAATTAAAAGGTTTATGGATGATGGTAGGTTATTTTTAAGTAGTTTCTGACATGATCTGTTTTTCTCCAGCTGTTTTTTTCTGAAAATGTAACTGTGTGACATTTGGGACAGAGCTCCAATCAGAGGTGTCTTTTTATTATAACTTTAGAAAAAGAAAAACATACTGAAATTAGGGCTGAGAGGGTTAATTGTGATTAAATGACTATTAAAAGTATCTACTAATAATTTGTTGTTGAAAATAGTTTTCTAGGGTAATGGTAGACTCTAAAACAGGCCATTTGCTCAAAGAATAATCTACTTATAACATCAATTAAGACAAACTCTACCAAAAAAATTGCACATTTTCCATTTATATACAGACTTTTCCATCAAAGACAGAAAAAAATCAACTGCAGGTAAAATGAATTGAAACTGTAAAGTAATTTTTAAAAATTATTTTAAAAACGTAAATATATATATTCACAAACATACATATATATGTATATATAGT